CCCGTCTTCTAAGCCGAACGGAGTGCCAACTGGCGTAGCTCAGCAGTTGGTACACTCCAGAGAACTGTTGAAATACAGGCACGAGTTGGAACACCACTGGAAGCCCGAACACCACTGGAAGCCCGAACACTACTGGAAGCCCAAACACCACTGGAAGCGGACTTTCATGACCCCTGATGAGCCCTCCCCTCCCCCCCCTTCTCCCCTCACGGCCCGTCTTCTAAGCCGAACGGAGTACCAACTGGCGTAGCTCAGCAGTTGGAACACTCCAGAGAACTGTTGAAATACAGGCACGAGTTGGAACACCACTGGAATCCCGAACACCACTGGGATCCCGAACATCACTGGAACCTGACTTTCATGACCCCTGATGAGCCCTGGTAGGCGGCTAGGCGAAACCGGTAGCGGTTGGGTCACTACCGCCATGCGGGGGTTCATTCTTACGTCATGTCTGTGGTTCACCGTTTCCCGTTTATCTTCAATTGACAAAGTCGCGTTCGGGGACACAGTTTCTTTTTGGCTTGGTGTGGCGCTCTTTATGCTGTCGACATCTGTGCATGCGTGGATTACGATTGTCTCCATCATTGTATGCTTTTTTTTTTTTTTTTTTTTTTTAACATACTACTGTAGCTCAGTTGGTACACTCCAGAACTGTTGAAAAATACAGGCCCGAGTTCGAACACCACTGGAAGCAGATTAGTGAATGAAATTCTACAATTCTAAACCGAACGGAGTAGGCTACACTTAACTTATTGTGAGTTTGAGGTTGCAGAAAAGATCGTTTTCCGGAAATTTGCTTGTAGTGGAAGTTTATATGGAACGGCGATGCCAATATTGCGGATCTGTCCCCGCCGAAAAAAAATAAAATAAAATAAAATTGCGGATCCGTCGGATAGGATCCGTGACGTGTACGTTAGGTTTGGCCACTGCTCTTCCTGAAGAGAATACTCACACTTAGTCTAGGACTTTTTCCACTTCTCTGTGGACGTAATTGTAGTCAGATGCATCCACGGAAGGTTGAAAAAGCGGTCTTATACATGCGTGAAAGTCCATGTTCACGTATGCCGACCTAAGGATTGGTGACGCTTGAAGTCGATCTCCGAAAGTTACCTCTGGAGGTAAATTTCGGCGGGGTGCTTTTGTACTTGCCCCTTTGATTTCTTTCATTCTTGTTCCCCCCCTCCCCCTCTCCTCTCTCCCTCCTTTTTCGTTACTTCCCTATGTCATTTATACTGTTTGATGTCTTGATCTTCTACTGTGTGTGCGTTTATTCTCCCTTTCAGAATTTACGTCGAAATTGCCGCTGCTAGTATAACCCCCCAACCCACCCCCTCACCCCTATACGGCCAAAGGCTGGCAACCCACGGCTTAGCGTCTCCGTTGGTATCCCTTACGTCTCCGTTAGTATCCGTGTCGTCTCCGTTATTGGGATTGGTGCTATCGTCTTCACACCCAAATAGAACGTTCGGTCATTATAGCTGTATTAGGTGCAATTTTCAGACTGGATACAGCGCAAATGACCGGGCATTCTATTCGGGTGAAGACGGTAGGCTTGGAAAGGCAGGCAGTGCTGCTGTAGTTGGCACTTCGTCACTGCGGCCACTTTCCTCCGTTTCACTTTTTTTTTGTTTGTTTTTTTTCCAGAGCCGACAGAATTACACTTCGTCTTTCATTTCATAAGTTTTTAGATGTGTACGAAACCCACAGATTCACTTTTTTCTATTTTTTTCCCGTTTCACGTTAATTTTCTGATGCGTGCAGTTGCCCTTGCGTCATGAATAGCTTGCGCTAACTGGTTTCCGTGCGGATTTTTTGAAGTTTTATTTTTAGTACTCGCTCTTTTTCTCCGTCCCTCGTATCGATTCTCCTCCCTCTTTTCTGTCGAGGTATCTCACCGCCCGTGATATCTCACCGCTGGTGATCACCGACGGAATGTGCTTTCCATCGCCTCGTTGCAAAATGAAGGAACTTGGACTGAGTTACAGTCCAGATGCAAGTAGATGAATGGAATAAACTCTGAGTTCTGGTTGCCTGAGGCCGGTCACTCCCACATTGGCCGACTCTGACTTTTGCGAACAATCATCAGTGTATTAGGCCAATTCGATGACAGCCACGTTCTCCGTAACGCAGAACAAGCACTCATCCTCGCTCCCTCCCTCCCTCCCTCCCTCCCTCGTTCGGTCGTTCGGTCGTTCGCTCGCTCCTGTGTGTGAATCTGCTGGGGTGAGGTCCCACTGCTGTGGCAAAGAGAATTGGATTCTACGCCTGAATCTGGACATGTTTGTCGAGAGGTGCAGAAAACCTGGGTTGATCTGCTTTTCCGCACCTCTCCAGAAACACGTCCGCGTTGGTGCGTTAATCCAATCCTCTGGTAGTGGGACCTCCCTAGCAAAGAGGATTGGATTCTAAGCCTGAATCTGGACGTGTTTGTGGAGAGGTGTAGAAAATCACGGTTGATCTGCTTTTCTGCACCTCTCCAGAAACCGTAGGTCGAGGGAGAAGAGGACAACAAACGAGGGGCTGTGACACTCTGTTTCGTCGGAGTTTATATACACACGGGGGTGGGGGCAGCCGCCGCTCAACCTACATCCACGTGGGCGGCCTTGTCCTACATCCACGTGGGCAGCCTTGTACGCAAGAGGTTCTGAACAGGGGGAGTTGTAAGGAAGAAGATTAAAAACAAATTAAGTTTTTTTTGTTTTCCTTGGTTTCTTTCTGTTTTTTTTTTTTTTTTTTTTTTTTGTGTGTGTGTTTTTTCGCTTTGGCGCTCTGATATCATGTCATATATAATCCTGGCTGGTTTGTCCCGTCGTTTGGCCTGTGCTGTCGGGGGCGGTGTCTGCATGTGGGACTTGTCATCTAGGATTCGTTTGCCCCCTGTTCTGTAATGTTTGGCTGTTCCCTTCCTCTTTTCTTTGCCTCTTCGCCTTTTGGCTGTGTGCAAGTGGGTCGATATGACACACGGGGGTGGGGGCAGCCGCCGCTCAACCTACATCCACGTGGGCGGCCTTGTACGCAAGAGGTTTTGAACAGGGGGAGTCTTGTAAGGAAGAAGATAAAAAATGAATTTATTTCTTCTTTATAAGGAGCGGGGCCTTGGGCAAGAGGTTTTGAACAGGGTGTCTTCTTTTTTTTTTTTTTTTTTTTTTTTTGGAACATTCGGAATTCCTTAGAAATCTATAAGGGCGGGGAGGAAACAAAATGTCTACTATCCTAAAATCCTCCCTCAGCCGACGAGGTGTCAGTCCAGGCTTTCAGTCTTCGTACCAGAACTCAATTGATCTCATACCCCCTACTGCTAGGGGGAGTCTTGTAAGTCTTGAACAGGGTTTGCACAGGGGGAGTCTTGTACGCAAGAGGTTTTGAACAGGGGAAGTTGGGTAGTGGAGAGGGGCCCAAGGTCTCTCCGACGCTTTACCCGGCCAGTCAGGGCCTAGTTGAACCACTCGCCACCCACCAACATTTTGAATGCATCTGCACGTGAACGTCTTCCAGATGCATCAAAGTCTTGCTGGATGGCGATTGGTGCAACTAGGCCCTTAGTGGGGGGAGTTTAGGGTCTCCGAATAGTTGAGACCGCCGTGCTGGGGTACTGGGAAAGCCATCTGATTGCCGAAGAAAACTTCCAGACAAGTCGTAGTGGGCACCCTCTCTTTCTTCTTTTTTCTTTTCCTTTCTCTTTTGCACGAGGGCCGTGCCACTGTTCTGTATCGTTCCAATGTAAGCGGATGTCCCGAAGGACTACGCAAAGCGATTCCAGCAGCAAAAAATTAACACTCGACGTGATGCTTCGTTTACCGGTGGGAAAAAGAATATCGAATATGATATACAAATG